CAGTATCAGGGCTACATATGCGCGGAACACGAGTAGCAAGCGACTGGATCAGGTTTCATTTTCGACCAATGGGTACCCAGCTGTATAAATTTGTCAGTTGACGATTCCGTGACAGTTTTCGGTAAATTGATCTCTTCAGAGTTCCATCGGTCTTCCTTGATAAGTTCACATCGAGGAAATGAATACTAGACTCGTTCTCCATTTCGAGTGTGAATTTTATCGCTGGATGGCAACCATTCATTATTCTCTTAAACGTTTGCCAACTTGAGCATTTGCTGTTGAAGTACATCATGTTTGTTAAATTCTTAATATGGTGCCAGGATATTTCTTTTTATCATAAATGAGTTTCGTTTGGAAAACGAGTGGAAATTAAATCACTTTATCAGTAAACACTAACAAACCTAACTAGATCCAAACTGACAGCTTTCAGTCTTCGCAGCGATCACGCCAGATTTCGACGGTTTACATTTCCTAATTTCTGCCGGATCATTATGTATAAATAATGATTTTTGGATAAGTTGGATAGTAGATTCATGAATCGAATACATTCCCAAATATATCCAGTTTTATGCAGATCACAATGGCTGAAATTACAGTTACTATAAGTGACACTGATGATAATCTCTGAGGCAGCGTTGCTCGTATGACGTTTACAAATATACATCGCTAGATAGAGTATATATGAAGTTACGAATGATAAACCTGAAACAGCTTTACCATCGCTTCTAAACACCTATCCAACAACAGAATATCAAATAGCTATCCGAACAAAAATGAGCTAAGCTTAATGTTATCATGTTATGTAGAATAGATAAGTGGACGTAAGTGTGAATAGACGTAAACATGAATCAACTAATCAATAAGTAATTAATTCATCTAATCTTTTTTGCCATTATTTTTTCTGCTTATTTACTGTTTAAGATGTAGAAGTGGATATTAAATTACTTGCTTAATCTTTTATTATTTTTCTTCTGTTACATAATATACTGGTTGACAGCCTTGTAAAATAAAAAAGCATATATACAATAAATATATATATATATCACTCGCGTAATGAATTATAATCTACTGAAATGCAGGGTATTATATTTATGCACCAGTGATGTTTTTATGATACTGAAATCTAATTCTTCCTTGATGTCCGTCACACTAAATGAGAAGTTATAGAAGCTAAAGAAACAACTCGCATCAGTTGCACATAGGTAGAATGCTTGCCAACCACGCATGTGGTTCAGGGTTCGATTTCAAGCCGACGGACTCTTTTACCTCGCTAAGCCAGTAATGAGACTGATAAAGAGGGAGGGTTAGGCATGAGGCTAAAATAAAATAAATATAAACACCACCGCTACCGAAAATTCAAAGATCTAGCTTGAAGCCCTATGTTTTACCGGGAACGTATAGGAATAAATCAAAAATAAAAGAAGAAAAAACTCACCAACGAATAACACCTACTAACAATTATACTTTCTTTTCACTTCATATAGTATAGTAAGTCAATTCCAATGATGCTCCAACAGCTCTAGACTATGAGATTTAAGCACATCTTAAACTGCTTTTATTATTATTATTATTATGAAATAAACAATGAGAAAGAATACGAACAATTAGCTCTGGTTAAGCTGTAATCCCTTTATTTAATAATTATCAGCTGATCAGGTAGTGTAAAGCAGAGAAGCTTTGGCTGACTTTCAAAAACACTTAATAAGTGAATGAAATTTGTCGATTAATAGTCCTGAAAGATCTTTTATATGTTTTTCAATATGTTCTCTTGAGTTAGGCTGTGCTTCAGCTTAAATTTACTCTATATCGTAAATGTAGGTTGTTAAAATAAAGCAAGAGTAGCCACTGTAAATCAGGTTTGGGCAAACAATAAAGATTTTTTACAGAGTATCTTAGTTAGGTTTTCTTTTAAAAAATTACAATATCTTCTAATTATTGGAGTTTATGGCTCGTGCATATTCTTCCGACTACTCAATTTCTTCATGGAAATCACTTGATTGAGTTCATTGTCGTCAACAAAGTAGCGTTAGCAAATATACCTAAGTAGTGAACGATTTGATTGAAGCAAAAGAGGTAAAGTTTTGATTTCTCTGAAGTTTGAAAACCTAATTAAGTTGTTTCTTCAGTTTTCTGTCCTCAAATCGATCATTGTTTTTTCACCTTTGTTGCTCTCCCCCTTTTATTACTTTTCGTTTTGTTTTTTCAGTCTTTCACTCTCTTTCACTGCTAACTTAATGATCTTTTCGGCTCACTTTCGTTTATATTTTGAATGTGTGTGTGTGTGTCTGTGTACATGTGGCCTCGTCGATGTTAGTGTTTTTTGGATTGTTTCAACTATATAGCACCAAATCTCACATGTCTCTTTCTCAGGACTTGTTTTCAACTTTACATTTACTGTCCTCACTTTATTTTATCCTTATTTCTCTTTTCTTTGATTTTTTTCTATTTTTTAATTCCTCTCACCTTTCATGTCATATATATATATATATGCATGCTCGTAGAATTTTATTCTTCTAGGTTCATGTTTATGTCTACATTTATCCACACACACACAACATAGCAATGCATCTGTAACTGGATATTTGCACTACATACAGACATACAGCTATAATCCAATCCCCTATATCATCACTTCCACCTTCTAGTCAGTATCTCATCTGTTTCCTCCTCTTACTTCTACTCCCCCTCATAATGATATCTTGTTGCTGATATCAATAATAAGCATCATCATCATTATTATTCATATTCATATTATTATTTTGGTTGTGTTCATTTGTTTATTATAAATAGAGTAAACACTTGATTTCTATTATTATCATTACTAATACTACTATTATTATTGCTATTAATGCTGTGTCCACATGCGTGTTATTGTTATGTGACTCGAAATCTTTCTCTCCTCTGATTATTATTATTATTATTACTATCACTACTATTATTATACAGCAAGGTATAAAATTGAAATTGGAATTTTTATCTAATTGTTTGTTTATCTATTAATTATTTAGGCAACAGCTAGCTAATTAGTTAGTTAGGTTAGTGAACACTCATTCACTATATATATTTGTATATACGCTGCAATGTGATGAACCTAATTGTTTGAATATTTCTGTGTATTAAATATGAATGTTGAATTTTATAAAACGTGATTTCATAGGATTATTTCATGTTAGAGTTCTACTCACATGCAAATTTTGTTTGTCTTTGTGTATATGTGCATGAACATTCCTTCTTGTTAGCATTTTTCTGAACCTGAGTTTATATATATATATATATATATAGTCCAGTGTACTCTTTTCTTTCATCACAGAAGTGTGCAGCATCAAAGAATAAACATTCGAAATGTACTTCGTAAACTTTTCTTCTTCAATGTGTAGCTCCCTTCTCAATTATTTTCTTTTTGTTTTATATAAAAGTCCCTTCAAAAATGCAATTGACTCAGTTAATAGAATACAAGTGTCATTTTCGAAATCTCTTATAAATATAAACAGAATTTTAAGATCAATTAATGATCATATTTTTGGTTATCATTTTTTTGGAAAGATCATATTGAAAGCGAAGTAGCAATGTACTGGATGCTTCCTTCGTATCTCTGGTCTACGACTTAACTAATTATCCTATGCATTGATTGATGCAGGTTAAGTTTTACGTCGACTAAATTAATAATACAAGCTAAAAACTGAAATCTGTCAATGCATCATTCCCACCTTTTTAAGTGTGTTCTTTTCCTGCAGAATCCTGTGTCACATGTAGTCATACACAGTGTAGTCGAATTTATACCTCAGAGAAAAACAACTTGTTCAACACTTGTTTCCATCATGGTCTCAGTTACTGTTACCATTACTAGACTCCTAAAAATAAAAATAAAAACAACTGTAGTTTTTTCACTCTTTCTTTCTTTCTTTATATTTTCATAATAATTATTATTTTTTTATAAATGCACAAAAATATAGACTACTCATTAGCACAGTATATTCCTGTTTGTTTGTTGTTCTGAAAGATAAACAACAACAATAACAACAGCAACAACAACTACTGAGAATCAATTGCAAACATGCGCACAAATCCGTGTCTGACTAATAAATACACTTGACGACAAGCTCCACTTTCACAGTGTCAAAGTCTTTAATTACTCTTCAATAAACAAGACGAAGTAGAAATAAATAAATGGATTACAGTATGTGTAATGCGTATGCACACAATGTTATGGCACAATGTATTCGCCAGTTGATTGTCCCTTAACAAACACACACACAAACAGAGGATTGTGTCTTAATAGAAATTATTTACAGTTGTAGTGAGGTTTCTAAGAAAATCGAATCCATCAAAATATTGTGAATACTGTTACTTCTGCTACTACTTCTAAATTGAGTGACATGCTTTTTGTTCAGTAGATGGTAATGTTCTATGGCTAAATTGAGAGAATAAATTTCAAAATACTACCTACTACTAGTGATTGATATGAGTAGTTGGAGTATAGGGTGATTTCAACTCGAGATGACGGATTGACTCGTTTGGTGCTGTCTTCATCGACAGTGTAGCTAGGTTGACTTTAATCAAAGGTTGGAATCAGTGGGAAGTACCTGAATTCTGGTCATTTTCTTGAGCAAACTGAAAATGCATACTATCTCAATGAAAAAGACATGTCGCCCGCTTGTACCTAGAATATGGTCGGTTTCGCTATTCAAAGTATGATTTTTTGCCTACTCATAGACTTTCGGCTTTCTTCGGTAGTCAATCAATTTGCCTTCACTGTTCTGAAAACTTAAGTAACTGAAACCTCTGAGTGCAGCAATACCTACAAAATGGTCTAATCACAACAGAGTAAATGAAGAAGAGAATGTCTTTTACTTTTTAATGTTTGTTAGCGTCCATTTTAATTTGATAAAATAGTATGAAGTTCAAAAATATTTATTTTCTAAGTTTTGCCTATTTTTCATCAAAGAAATTACCGGAAGGTAATACATCTATTATTATTTTTGTTATATTTTTTATTTCAGGTTTTAACGGTCACAATGCCGGTGTTGTCTCAGCAAGCGTAGTTGTTATTTTTCACACTTATGTCATATTCTTTTCAATCATTATCATCACAATAAAAATAAAGCGTGAAAACATTTTGCTGAATATCGATAACTCCTTTTTCTTTCTACTACTTTTATCAAATTAGTTTTCTTCAAATTTTCATTTGGAGGGCTTCAGTTGAATTCAGGTAAAAATCCATCATGAGCTGACATCAGTTAGATAGAAACTGTTAAAACAGAGAATATCGAACGGTTGTTTTTTAGCAATTCGAGATTTTTCAGCAGTCAGTATCCATGACTCCATTAAAGATTGAACCCAGGATGGTTCGTAATGAAGAAAAGTGATGAAAATTTGTTCAACGTTTGGAAGCAAAGTATGGCATGTTTTATGAGGTGGATCATAGTGAAGTAGAAAGTAATACCTATTGGTTTACTTTTCTCAGTATTAGCCATAATTTAACCAACTTGTAATATTAATAATAATAATAATAGCATGCTCTCTGCTATGTGTAAGGACTCATAAAACTAACCACTTCTCCTAAAATTGAAGTCAACGGAATGAGTTTAGAACCTAGTATGATCGACTGATAACTATTAGTTTGATAACAAAATAATTTTACTTGATAAGAGACACAGTGAGACAGCATCATTTATTTACTGATGACCTTTGGAGGACGAATTATTCTTAATAATCATACTAACGTTAACAGTAAATAAGTAATACTGTCTCACTTTGTGTTTTATCAAGTAAAATTATTTTGTTATCAAACTAATAGTTATCAGTCGATCATCCTAGGTTCGAAACGCATTCCGTTGACTTCAATTTTAGGAGAAGTGGTTAGTCTTATGAGTCCATTTTGGAGTTATAGACTACCATAATGCCCGAATTCTGCTCCAACTGCAACAGGCTAGATAAACACAGCAGTTGAACATGTCTGGAGACTATGTTTAAGAGAAGAACTCCGTAGAACTATTAGGAACTAACCATCGTACGAATTGAAATTGAGAAACTTAAATCTAAGTTCAAGGGTATGGTGAACAAAAAAGCTATGTGGGCCGTTCTTAAGAAGTCAAGAAACAAGCATATAGAGGGAGTGCTAGGTGAAATACATAAGATTACTTCTAAAAAGATCCGAGCGCGATGTGCATTAGCATTGAAACAACAAAAGAAAGCGAAACGCAACTTAACGAAATCAAAAATCTAGCTCTGACGATTCTTAAAACTGATAAAAACAGTAATGGCGTAGGTTACTCAACAATGGTTATTGTTAAACACTACTACATCATGAAAGCCAGTGAGTAAATAATAACAGATCCGTATGAAGAGATTCAAAGGACCGTAGATTCGACGGTGGATAAGATTAAGATATCCACAGCTTATTTAGTACGCCGAATCAAGCTATCACATAGGCAGGTGAATTTAAATGGTTTAATGCCAGCAGAAAATTACAGCATTATTAAGATACATAAACCAGGCTATCCTACAATACCAGTAGTGCATTTCAGGAATATTCCCACGTATGAGTTGTTTAAACACTAGCTGTTATATTATGTTCTATCTGAAACCATTCGAACTCGCGTTGATAAGCTTTATGAGCAATAAATTGTTCTCAAAGCGTCATAAGTAAATAAATAACTCTGTACTGGAATTCTAGTATTCTGTATTAATTGTGTATCTAACCAAATAAATTTATCCTACTACCGAATTATTTTTTACTCCATCGCCCAAATTGTAATCTCACGTCGTTAGCTCGGTAGCTGGTAAATTTCAAAGAGGCTTCTTTTACAATAGCAGATCAATTAAGACAGAAGAGATAGTCCAATACAGTAAAAATGACCTATACAAACGCATTCATTTAATTCTTCGTGTAGATAACTCACAAACTCATGTTAAAAAGTGTATCAATAGAATTTTGACGTCGAATGGAAACATATTGCCACAAGGTTCACAAATTAAATTGGAAATATTTACTTTCATATCAACATGTATTTCTGCACTCCTATTAGTTAACGGTTTTGAAGAAAGCTAAACGAAATATATATAAATCCAGTTTGGAAATCTTCACTCAATATAAGTAACAAGATTCAGATTTTCAACACCAATGTCAAGTGGATCCTTCTATACGCGTCAGAAACTTGCACTGCGTGTCACGAAAAGCATTTCCAACAAGCCAGTGCAGACTTCCATCAACAACTGCCTTCGCTGACTCCATACTGAAGAAACCGTGGCTGGGAACAAACCAACCAAGACCTGATTGTTCAACAAATATGTGGGAGGGAATGGAGATGGATTGGGTATACGCTGAAGAGGCCGTCGATTGACATCGCGCGCGCAATGCAGGCCATAGCTGGAGTGGAATGGGAATGTGAAGCGACGAGTGGGTCGTTGATGTGAGGGTGACATGGAGGAGATTGTGTGAAGAAGAGATGAGAGATTATGGTCAATCGTGAATTCAGCTGAAGAGGATGGGCAGAACACAGAACGAGGTAGAGATGTGTTGTTGAAGCCCTATGTTTCACTCGGAGCCTAAGGCAATAATAAGAAAATAATAGTATGAAATAAGCTCGAAATGCATTATTCTATAGCTGCTCAAAACAGAGTAAAATAACTACCGAAACAGAATACTTCGATGAATCAGCGTTGAAACAGATTAATACGATATGTGATGAATCAACTTGCGTTATAGCTTATGATGGGTTATTTACTTTTAAAGTAGGTGGCTCGTCACGGCAAAGCAAGATCAATACTTTTCTCCGGATGGTTCTGATTTCACTAGATTGCTGAATTCTACCTTCTAATGCCCGTACCATTCGATGCACTATATGTCTTTTCAAAATAAAATAAATTTACTCTATAAAAAATTCAAATGCCTTTCAGTTTAATGTTTTATTAAAACAGTTTGGCTTAATCTCATAACTTGTCTGACTGAAAACTTAACATTATTTGTTAATACTCAGTACCTAAACATGGCTAAATGTATTAAGGAAATTGCTCAGTTAATTTGATTGGACACTAGTCAGTGACTAGTGAAGTTTGTCTAGTCCTTTGTTTGGTGCAGACTGAACTCTGTCAGTCAAGTTTTCATTTTGACCAGCATTCTAGGTAGCTTGCCATCACGGTGCACTTTAAATTGTTCTACAGGAGGTCAGTCGCTGCTCCGAATAGCTCAGTAGTTATGTCTCTGTCTGCAGCAACGGGTGACGCGAGTTCGAATCTCAGAAGGGATATGATTTCCTTTAAGGTTGGAGATACGTCTTGCTGACGAGCGCGAACCAACATGAAACCTAGTATTAGGTTTTCCTGCTGATTGCCTCCAACCACCTAAATTACTTAGTTAGTTTAATTTTTCATTAGTACGTAGACAAATATTATTATTAATCAGTGATCTGTTTTGTGAATCGTGGGAAAACAACGAAGAAGTTCTCAGTTATTCAGATCTCTATATGAATAATTCGTAGGAAATTCATCGAGTAGACCGATAGGATGCCTGTAATCCTGACAGACAATGCATTAGTACATAGTACAAAATAAAAATACTGAGTGTTGACCAATCAACGAAATTTAGAATGGCCGTTGTGTCACCTTCAGTTGTTAAGCAAAATGGTTGTCATCCCTCAGCACGTAAAGTAGTTCCATCAAGACAAGTTGAATGTAAAAGTAAGCAGTGCATTAACACAAAAAGTCCCCTATCTCAGACATGAAAATAACAGACATTTGATTGTAACGTTTAAGTTAAATGTGTCTTTCTTAAGGGAAGGTAAAAGAATCCTTTTAACAACTTCAGTAAGATTACTTTCATTTGAAGCCTTGGAATTACTGACTTTTACCACGAACAAAAACAACTATTTTGAAATGACTGTCTACGTACAAATTTTGTCTGCAATTGTTTGTGAGATTCTTAAGTTTTTCACTTGTAATAACAGAGTCCATATAGTTGTTAAAGGAAAACACAAGTATGCTCAGATCAGTTCCTTAGCAAAACGATGCAAACCAATAAAAGTGTGAACTCATTCATGGTAAATACTTCTCATTTTGCCTGAGTAGAAGAAAACCAAGTAATATAGATCATGCTCATGTTTACTAGTTTATGTGATGATTTGATGTCGTACACTTCAACGTCCAAGAGACACATCTTGTGTAGAGAGTCGGCATCCAAAGAATGTATCTGACATCACGTGGAATGTAGTAAACATTCCATTCAACGCAATTCGTACGAATAGTATTTGCCAGAAAGACAAGACAAATGCAGCTGAAAAACGCATCATTAATGTACTGAGAGATCTTCTAAAGAAGAAATTGATTCACAATAGTAAGTACAATGAATTGAAACCCCGAGGGTTCTCTTTGCCGCACATGTATGGCCTTCCAAAGACACACAAGAAAGAAGTCACTCTGAGACCTATGCTTTCGATGATCAACTCGCCCCAACATAAGGTTGCCCGTTGGCTTGCGGAGAAGTTGGAACCCATTCACCAACGGCTAGCGGTGCACACCATGAAAGACTCATTTCATTTCGCCGAATGTGTGAATCACATGAACGTTCCAAACAAGTTCATTGAGTCATTTGATGCAACCTCCTTGTTCACAATGATCCCAATCAATGAAACCATTGAGATCATTTGTCAACAGTTTGATCTTCTCCCACTACCAGAGTCGGAATTGAAACACCAACTGCTTATGTGTACCATGGGTGTACAATTCCAGTTTAACAACACTCTTTACCGACAAATAAATGGTGTAGCCATGGGCAGTCCCTTTAGCCCTGTTTTAGCAGATATCTTCCTGTCAAACCTTGAGGAAACAAAGTTGAAGCATGCAATTGACGAGACAACTTCCTGTTGTCAACATGTCAATGACACATTTGTAGTGTGCAACAATGAAAGTCATGCTTCCTACCTACTTAGATTATTCAACGACGCACATTCAAATATTAAATTTACTATGGAACATGAAAATGATAGAAAGTTCCATTTCCTTGACATTGCCATGCAACGCCTAGGAGATGATAGTTTCCAGAGGTCAATTTACGGAAAGCTGACATGGAATGGACAATACTTACATTTTAATAGTTTTCGTCCAAATAGCTATAAACGAGCACTAGTCAAGACTCT